TTCTTTCCATGAAGAAATGCCTCTGTTTCCTACAGGATCTTATTGCTGAACAGAAAAATAAAATAATGCACATCAGTCATAAAGGCTTTGGTTCTTGATTCTTAAGTTTTGTGTTTCTACAAACATGAATTGAAGAGACAAATTATTACAAGACAAACTTTGGTGTGGATTAACTTTTTATCACCTACTCCACAATAACTGTCCATATACCAAGTGTGGTCAATGTGAAATAATTCAGGGCAGTTTCCTCCATAGTAAACTTACCCTGGGACAGGGAAATGAAGCAAAGTTACCAAAATAATGTAAATCTAGATTTTGTATCACATTATATTTTTGTAATCATACCCCAAATCATGTAGGCACTCTAAAGAACTGACTATTTTACTCCTTCAAAAAATTGGTACCAGCATTTTCAGAAACAGCCAGTGATTTGAGGTCCTTGTGGTTTAATGGAGCTCCCAACACCAGAAAATCGTGCCTTCTTCAAGTACTTCAGTTTCAGCAATTGAATCTTTAGAGACCGTAGGCCACTTATCACTTCTGAAAAACTTGGCTTATGGCTGTGTCATTTTTCCAAGCTCTTCAGCCTTCCTCTGATTTCTAAAGTGACCATTTCCTGCCATTTCAAATTAGCCTGTTAGACATATTAGGAACAAAACCAAAAAGAAATCTGCCTCAGAAAAGTGAAGACTTGAAAACAACGGATTCAAGTTGTCATTTTTGGTCTGCCTGGGAACAAAACACATAGTGACAGCAGAAATTCATTCATGATAGTCAGCCATCATATCTCAGTTTTCCCAGATTTGACCAGTATAAGGGCAGATATGTAGAAAACCAGACACCAGCAGGTTCATCAATTTAGGTCTGAATTTTACCCACAAAGATGATTTTTTCACAAGTGTTTGCTGCTATAATAATAAAAGATTTCTTTCTGCTGTAGAGTAGACCTGCAGATGGATAAGAAACCTACTCAGTGTGTGCACATACCCATCCTGCCCAGACTCCCAATAAGATTCTGCAACATGACTGTCTCTGCTCTGATTTTGATCAAGATGATGTGACTCGTATCAGACTAAACGACGGCAAGTAATGAGATCTTTGCAGTTTCCACTACCGCTTGGGTAGGTTTCAAACAGAACATGGTGGACACGTGTACGTGGAGTCAGATAGTACCTCGCGCTTTAAACTAGCTTCAGACTAGTTGGTTTAAGCATCTGTAGCTGCCTGGGTGTAACACCACCGAGGTCGTTCTGGGCTACTTTATCCCACCCCAACTGCGCTACGGTTCGTCTCACAGAAAAGGAGGCCTAACTTCTCGTTATTATTCCACTGACCTGATGAGGCCCATGAAACATTTATAATCCAATCTCCCAGATTAATTTCCAGTAGTAAATGAATTATTAAAAAATGGGGAGGAAACCTGGGCTTTTACTATTACCATTGCTTTAAATGTTTTATTTGTATGGGACATTCTGTACAAGACAAAGTTAAATATACATTTTGTACAAAAGTGACATATATGACACCTTACCAAAATAGTACCTCTGCTTACATATTCATCTACATACACAATATGCCATGTCTGTTGTTAGCGAAGGGGCCAATTTCCAGCAGAGGGTGTATTTTTTTTATGCCACAGAAGAAAAGAGAATGAAATTAAGACATCATGCAGACCAAGTGCCAACGTCACTGGTGTCTTTTAATGCTTAATTATCAAACGGTTGCTGTTTTGTTCATTTCAGGAAGTCACATTCATTGGGTAATGAAAAAGAAAAAAAGAAACAATGAAGAGGAAAACATAATTAAAAAAAAATAGATGCATGCTGCTGGAACAGGATATGATTCTACACAGATCTGTGCAAAGGTTGTTGCATTGCCGTATAACATTTTGCATTGCCTTGTCTGATTGACTCAAAAAGCCCTGTAATGTCTTAAGGGAAATAACTTCTGGTGCTTTATATCGAATAAAAATACACAGGTCTTCTTCTTGATGCAGACAGTGATCGAGGTAACACTGTGGCATTTTTCTGAGAAGAACTAGATCTAAATTAATGTTCTGGTTGCACATTTCTTCCTTATGGAAGGCTGCCCTAGCAAACCTCAAGAGTCATCTCTTTTCCTAGTAAGGACACTGGCATTGAACGCTGGTGAAGGAAGACACAGCTTTTAGGCTCCAGCAGTCAAGGATGGTGGAGGGAGCTTAGCAATGCTGAGGTTCTCAGTGCTCCTCCTTGGTGGATTTACCCTACACAGGTGGCAGTTTGGTGAAGTGGTCCAAGTGCTTTATTTCTGCCTTTGTGAGTGGGGGCACAGGTGAATCTGGAGTTAGTTCATCTTAAATAGATGACAGGTGGACAGTGGACTTTGCCGAACAAATATACGTGGTCACAGTGACAGATAATAGGCAAGAAAGATCTGTCTCACTGAGGTTCTGTTGTCACAGAAACTGAGATTCAACAAAACTATTCTCCATAACCAGTGATGAAGGAGCCTCAAAGTTCTTTACAGCCTGTTTTACAAAGATGGTCAGAATTCAGGGCCTCCCCTCATCTTCATTTACCCTCCAAGATAAACCATAAACCACAATCTATTTCCAAGCGCTATTCACTATACTATTTCTTACACCCTGAAAAATCCTTACAGCTTCATGGGTGAAATGCATTTGAGGCAATCCCCACTTTTACTTACCATCCTACAGGCTGGAGCATAGTTCTTCTCATCCTAAAGCAAAGACACATCACACCCTGATATCTCCCCTCTTCTGAACAGAGGAGAACAGCTCCTCTGAACACATATGCACTGTAGACATCTATATTTTAGTCAGATGAAATCTGGCCTGTCACAAGGCAGCTCCCTCCTTCCCCAGACAAATGCTTAATCTTTGCTGCTCTTCTATCAGGGAGTGGAAGGTTATCTCCAAACTGACATACTTTAAAGCAGTGCTTTAAATTAAATGGTGTAGGTTTACTAGACTGAAAAATTCAGAAAGGAATTTTTTGTTAAACCTGGTTCCAAAAATCTTCCACCATTTTTCATCTCTACACTCTTTTCTGTCCAAATGCATTCTGCAAAAAATCTTAGTTTACATCATGGATGCCCTGTGAGGTAAGTGGGAAAATCAAGCTATATTTGCTTCATGAAACAAAGTGTGGACTACAGTTCACAGAAATTTCAAGAGGAACAAAGGCTTTGGATCTGGGATCTTTGTTCGTGATCTCCCACTCCCAGAAACACTGAAGCTCACACTGAGGCAAGCTCTTCCTGGGAAACTGGACTGTCTGAAGTATGGATGATGAGTGTATCTTAAAGGCAGTATTGAGTCCACCTACAGCTGACAGTACAAACATATGCCTATATACACAAAGATGAAAGGGTTTGCCAAAGGCCACGTAACATCCTTGTAGTAGAGTCAGGAATGAGCTCAGATCTGATGCTGCCTACGCCTCAGAGGCTGAATGGGAGATCTTAATCTCACAAAGTTTAAAAAAGTTTGCCTATCTGATCTAAACCAAACAAATTACATTACACTGAATTAAATAAAATAACTGAAACTCTGAGAGGCTTTACAGCGTATAGCTAGTTTGATGTGAATGGGAAGCAAAGGAGGAGACAGATGTTCACTCAAAGACTACCTAAACCTTTCTAGTACTCCGTTATGGCTTATATTCAGGCTGGTTTCCAAATCTAGCTCAAATGCTAATTCCCCGAGATTTGTATTTGCATAGTCAGTTTGGTGTCTCCATGCTACACAGGGTAGGGCCTTGAATTTTTGTTGGAAATTGATTTTGGAAAGAGCAATTAGTTTATCAGGACTCAGAGGAATTTGCGTACTGACTAGGAAGAAGGTGCTATGATAAATATCAGAAAGTAAAAGTTCTTTATTAAACTCTCATGAATTATTCACTATCAAGAGAGAGGAATAATTCTAGAAGCACCATTTTTCTGCCTTTTTTCCAAGGCATTTTTTCCATCTTCAGTTCAGTAACTTGTTCCAATTTTGGTAAAGTGTTGCCAAAATATGTCACTTGAATTGATTTCAGCATACAAACTGCTGTTTCAGTACCTCGTGATACATATCCACAGTACATCATTTCAGTACATGCATTTTATTTAATCATGAAAAATGGTCTCTATCACAGATAGGCACCATTTAAATTTCAAATCTAACAGCTCTTCTGTTTTCTTGTAATGAAGAGGCAAAGCACAGATCTTATCTATCACTTTGGTGTAAATAAACCCTAGTGTATAAGTAGTTACAATGGTATAAATGTAAAGATACTGATAGAGCTATCTCTAATCTAGAAAGAAAAATGTGCTACATCAGTGTGAGGCACTGTTACACACCAATTTCACCCAGTATAAGGAACGTACTGGTGTTATTATTCTCATAACACAAAACCACAATCCTTACTGCAAATTTTATGACACAAGAACTTTGTATAGGTCAGGCTTTATCTGAAAAGTCCATATGGTTACCAATGTGTTTAGTGCAAAACGAGACTTACTAATACCAGGTAAAGAAGTGAATATACATTTCTTGGATGATATTTTATATTTGCACTGGAGTTTTGTAGGTGAAGAACTAAGCAGTACAGAGAAGGCATGTACAGTGACAGAAATCTGGGTTCAGCATCTTTCATCAGATGCTTTGAAACAATTGCAGGATACAGAGTGGATCCAGAAAGAGACCTCAAGGGGACGTTGACGACTTCACTGCTTCATCTGTAACCTTGATTTGGTAGTGGAATCTGAGTCTACTCTCAGAAGCTGTATGTTAAAGGCAGTGACAAGGAATTTACGTAAGTGTTGTTTATATTATAAGCAAAATATCTGAAGCACGAGGTGATTGAGGTGAAACTCTTCCAGCCTGCAAACCATGCCGTTCTTCCTCATCGTAAACTGCACAACTCTTGTCCTATTTCCTGTATTGGTGGGAATAGGAATGTGCTAATTCAGTCATTTCCTTTTTGTCTTTACAAATAAAGTGCAGGTCAGGTCAGTCACAACATTGGTTCTGTGCCATTCCAGTCAATAACAGCTCCTTGCCACCTAGAAATGAAAGCAATCGTTTTACATCCATCAGTTAATCAGGTCATTGGAAAGGTAACCCAACACCCCTCAACCACGCAAAAAACCTTAGAGAGATTAGGATGGACTCATTTGGGGTAACTAATCACATCTTCTCAAAGGCATAAGAACAGAAGTGAGGTACTTGTGCCCCTGAATTTTAGGTGCCCAAGTTTGGAGGTCAGTCTCCTTACCCTTCCTCCGGTCTCTTCTAAGCAATAGAGAGTCCTCAGCAGCAGCTGATTCAGAACAAGTACCTTCATGTTGCAAAGACTGTAGGGAATCCCTAAGATGGGTACAAGAATTAACCCTATATAACCAGAATGCTCAGTCTCAGCTCTTACTATGCATTTTGCACACTCCTATATAGGCAGGCCTCTGATTAGGAACTCTCTGTCTCTGAGACCCTGAGACCGGATCATTTCAGTTAGCAGCTATCTTTGCTCCTGACCTTGGTTCCTTTGAAGTATTCAATGGCTCACTTTAATGGCAATGTTTTGTTTTTCCTATGTTGAGGCTTTGCTTTTTCTCTGCCCTCATTCCTTCTTCAGAATAACACTAAAGATGTGTACCAAGAACAATGTTTCCAAATGAGTCCACACACACGTGCACAAAAACCTTCCATGTCTTTAATTCCTGCTTATCCTCAGCTGCCCATTTGTCCTGGTTTTGGCTGGGATAGAGTTAATTTCCTTTCTGGTATAGTGCTATGTTTTGGATTTAATATGAGAAGAATGTTGATAACACACTGATGTTTTCAGTTGTTGCTAAGTAGTGTTTAGACTAAGTCAAGGATTTTTCAGCTTCTCATGCCCAGCCAGCGAGAAGGCTGGAGGGGGACAAGGAGTTGGGAGGGGACACAGCCAGGACAGCTGACCCCAACTGGCCAAAGGGGTATTCCAGACCATGTGACGTCATGCCCAGTATATAAACTGGGGGGAGTTGGCCAGGCAGGGGATCATTGCTGGGGGACTACCTGGGCATCCGTCAGCGAGTGGTGAGCAATTGCATTGTGCATCACTTATTTTGTATATTCCAATTCTTTTATTATTATTATTATTGTTGTCATTTTATTAGTATCATCATCATTATTATTATCACTATTATTTTCTTCCTTTCTTCCTTTCCTATTAAACTGTCTTTATGTCAACCCATGAGCTTTACTTTTTTTCCCAATTCTGTCCCCCAGCCCACTGGGTGCGGGCGAATGAGTGAGCTGCTGCATGGTGCTTAGTTTCTGGCTGTGGTTAAACCACACCACCACTCCAGGAATGTGACCAACACTGAATGCAAACAAGGTTTCAACCCTGCATTTGTCACCGAATGTGTCTTCAAATCATGGCAGAAGACAAAGATCTGAACCAAGACTTGGTGAAAGCAGGATGATGCTCTCCAGTGACCTCACTGGGTTGAAGTGAGTCAACTTACTGTACAGTCAGAGTCATTCACTGCATGAATTGCACCCTTGTCCGTGGCATTTCTCATGTTTGCAAGTTCATGGTCCCCATCTTCTGAGAACTAAACTATTGCATTCTCAGTGTCAAGTATTTATATCTGTTTTGAAAATCTGTCTCAGAGTGCATGTGCACAGTAGCAAGACATTAGTGAGGGGGTGGAGATGACAGTGAGTTGCCAGAGTGCCACATTCTTTCTGTCACCGAGGAAAGAATGTGTCAGCAAGGGTATGGCAGCTCAGTCCTTTCACTGAGCAAGTCAATTAAGTGTAAAACAAAACCAAAAGCTGAATTCATGCAGTATTCAGTGCAAAGCCTCAAAGCAAGAGACCATCTGAGGGTTGTTGTGAATTTTTTCCATCTTTTTTTTTATTTTGCTGAGAAAATAAAAATTAAAAAATTGCAGAAAGACTGTCCTCATCCCAGGACTTAGTAGGAATACACAACAGTGATGCCTCACATCTTAAGTTAAAAGCAGAATATGTTCTAGCTGGGGATATTCGACCTAGTCTGGCATTTGCCAGTGGTGAGAGCTGTCCCTGCCAGATGTTCAGAATATCACCCCAGAACAACCAAATGCAAGTGGGAAGTACAATTGCTACCTTCTGTCCCCACTGGATTTTTCAGATAATGCCATCAAATCATCCCTTATCTTTGTGTACAATCTTCCCAAGGCACCACCTTCTATCTCATCAGGGTGATTAAAGCTTTGAGAGGGATCCACAGAGACCCCACAGAGGCCAAAAGACACCGAATGAAATCTGTTCTGAGAATACACTATACTCTGTGAAAACACTAACATGTGCTGATACCATTTTTGCTCTTATGGCTTAGGATGCTGCTAATCACTATGCAGTGAAGAACTGGCCTTTTCTAAAACAGGATTTCAAGAAAAAGCTTAAACAGAAAAGAGTATTTTGAAGCAGGACTCAAGGTAACTTTCATAACAAGCCTTATCTCCCATGTTTATTTTCAAACCATTTTTGCTGAGCCATTTGTAGACTGAAAAGCAGTCTTTGGCTGTTTGCTCCTGTGGAGACGGATCCAAAACTTTTTTCATCTATTGAATATGCACAAGAAAAGGTGTCAAATAGTGAGGAACCTCACTCACAGGCGCTGAACAAGTCTTTTCTTTACAGACAGAAACAAAACTGTCCAGACAATTCAGCATCATCATTTCCCCACAGCATCCTGCCACAACGCAATTCAAACTGAACCCAGATTCTAGCTGCTGATTCAATTATAATTTATCAGATTAGCTACATGAAAACTATATTTGACCCACCTGGTTCAACTACAACCTCACCCAAGGGTCATGGAGTTAACGGGAACCCAGGAGGAACTGGTTCAAGCCCTGAACAATGCTCAGTCTGGAATAACATTCACAGAGTATCTCCTGTACTAATCATTCAGTATTGTTTTAGAGCACACCAATAATTCAGGATGAAATGCCCATGCTCTCCTCTCCTCTTATCCACTAAATTTCCACTGGATGTCTCACTTCAAAGCCAAACAGATGAACTAATGTGTCATATAGCCCCACTACCCCAGAGGAAAGCTGATGTTAGAGGGTTAACAAAATATACCTCTAAATTCAGATTATAATATCAGATCAAAGTTTTATTCCCCTCAGGCAGAGCTAACAGATGTTATTTCCGCCAGTGCAGAGAGACGCCGAGGATTGTGACTGTGATATGAGTATTTTTCAGGGAAGAATGGGAGAAGACGTCCGCACGGCATCTCCCAAACAACACAGGGATGCACATTCCAGACATCTCTTGGTCAGAATCTGACTGCTTCTACAGATGTCTAGGGCTGAAAGCCACAATAAAAGCACATGTACTTGTACTGACTCTTTGGTTGGGAGCCTGCAGGTTAAAGTGATACCTGTTGGTGACTAGTCGTTCTAGCCATCATCTGAAGCATTACCTGCTTTAAACTCAAATCTCGCTCTTCTGACATTTTATAGAATAGGGACTAAAATAGGGACTAGAATAGGGACTCTCTTCCTCCTGCAGAAGTAAAACAACCCTTCTCCTCTGATAAAAATAATAACAAGAAAACCTAAATACAGAAACAGTCTATTACATATGCAGTTTTCCCTTTGGGAGAGGATAAGAGAACAAACAGCAAACAGATGTTGGGCATGTAATTCAATGCATTACAGGACGGTAGTGTTCAGGTATTGAGGTAAACAATGGGTAAGGCTTTTCATGGATTAAAACAGAACTGAGTCATGTGAATAAAAGGAAAAAAACCAATCAACTTTTGGAAACAACAGTTAATCTTCTCAGTTCTGATTGTTCAGTCTGTGAAATTCTCCACACTGCCTGAGGGATCATCCTGCATTTTTTTATGAGAAAGGTTTGTTAAGTAGCTTCATCATGAATGCTTGGTCAAAATAAGTAACGGCTCTTTGCTTGCTTGCTTGCTTGCTTTACTAAAAATTAGTTTAGGAGTGTTTTCCATGGCTGTATGATAGAAAACATTTCCTTTTTATCTCCCAATTTGTTAAAATATTGGTTAGTTTGGTTTGGTTTTACTTTTCCTTATATACTGTTTCATAGTTGGAAGAAAAAGTTCTTAAACCAAAAAGGAAAAATAGAACACGAAAAACCTTTAGCAGCAAGGCCATGCTTAAATAAATATGCTCAAAGCAAATGGAGAATACTGGAAACAAGGAGCCAGACTGATCAGGGTAAATCAGACGGTCCTGAGAATGGTACAAACAAAATAAATTGACACTGGAATTTGCTGGTCATTTACTTCTCCAGTAGATTAAAGCAGGGAATTTAAAATAAACAAACATCACCACTACAAAAACTGTGTAACTTTGATACAATGCCAGGAATGGAAGATGTTCTAAGAGCACTTTTAAGTAGTTGCACGCATTATTTACTGTGTGGGTTTCTGAGGCTATATATTATTTATTTTAGTTTGTAGTCATGCTTATGTGTTACTGGAACAGAGGAATCAATACAATCTATATGTAAGGGAGTCTGGACTAATGTCACTGCTGTCATGTTACAGGATGCCTCTTCTACTTTTCTGTAACTTTATAATGGCAGCCATGCAGGAACACACTGTTTGGCAGCCACTGTGCTTATTTTTGGGGGTGGTTTTTTACAGGACAAATTGTGGCAAGGAGAGGGGGAAATTACAACAGAAATCTGAAGCTGCTTGGCTTGCTGATTTAACAAATGTTACGGTCTTTGACAATGAGGCTTTTACTTCTTGCTCCAAAGATATTCAGATAGCAGTTTTCAAAGTCATGCTGATGGAGCTGATATAAAGCTGATTTTTCTACCTAGTTAAATTTCTCCATTTTGCTTCTTTCATGTCTCACTAAACTGAAAATGTTCTCATTAACTTCAGTATAACTTGGATAAATTGCTTAAAATAATATCATTTAATATCATATAGACCTTAAAATGGCCATGAAAATCTGAACATGACAGGAACTAGCCTTGTATTTAAGGAGAAAATATGACCTAAGAACTGTCAAGAATGACTTCACAAAACACAGTGTTTTGTGATCTTGAGCTCTGTGCTGCCCATAGGCACATGGAAAGTTTGAGAAAACTGAGCCCAGTGAGCACAGGGCTTCATGCATCGAGAACGATACCCAAGTCTCCCACAGCAACTATATTTTTCAGAAAGGACTTATAAAAAATTTCTCCTTTTCTCATTATACCTCTACAATAGGAATCAATGAAATTTTGGGGATCTAAATGTAGATCTATTGAAATCAAGTTGTGCTCTCAAACTGAATTTGGCTTAGTCAGTTCTTGGTGATGTAATGAAGGTTCCTCTAAAAATGAAGTGAATGTCTTAGCCAGTTTGATGTTAACTACAATAACACACAATTAAATGTGTAATACTTATTATCACAACCTGGCCTATTCAGATCCTTTCTGATTTTTAAGCAGTAATTTTGCAAGATTACTTGCTGCATTATTTTTTACCACACTCCAGCCTTACATATATTATTTATATCAGTAACTGAATATATCTGTATGAAAAACTGTAGTTTCACTTACTTTGTCCTAATACAGTGCTCAAGTGGAGGAGTAAGGTCATTTTCTTTATCTTCAGTGCACATCTGAGTTGTGTCTGCAGAGACATATCAGACATTATTAGTGGCTGGAGTATATTTCTATTCACACAGAATACTGCAGTAGCTTCTAGGAACTCCACTCATGGAAGTGATGGACTACCACTCACACCGTAAATCTCCTAGCCCACAATAGGCACGTATCCACTTTGGACTGAAATACCCTGGCACTGGAATACCATCTCATGCCCTCGTTCACGCCATCTGAACAGAGTGGCCACAGACAGGGCCAGGAATGCTCAGAGCAGGTACCACAACTATGGCTCTTTGCAAATAGCATGGGCTTTATAGCTGACCTTAGAGCGGACAGTCTGGCACTCACTGCTTTGTCATTGCCTGAACTCTTTCAGCTAGTGGTCTACTGCCTGTTCATGTGGTGGCAGGCTAAAGGCAGGGGTGACTGAATGCAAACGCTGTTGGGAATGATCCCCAGATTGTGCCCAGTATTAGTTGTTCTGGGCCAGAAACTTTCCGAAAATTGTGCTGACTACTTACCAGTAAGGATGATCGGGGGACAGTGTTCAGACTCATGCCCTGACACATGTTAGTTTACTAATATAGAGATGGTTTCAAGGAAAAAACATGGATTAGAAGGTGAAAGATTATGCTGGAGGGATGTCATGAGGTTTTTATTTTGCAGTTGATGTCATAGCTACTAAGAAAGCAATTTTCATTACTCAAATACTAAGGACAGCGGTAGCTGAATAGGAAACCCCAAGTCCAGTCCAAACTGGGTTAAGATTCTTTCACCCTGGAAAAGAAGATTGTCCCTTGACTGTTGAGAAAGCAATGCACAGACGGGAGAAGCCAATGTTGTGTTGGATATAAGAGAGCTACCACAGACTGTGAGCATTCCTTCGGGACAGAGAGGCAATTGCACTGTTCCAGGGAAAACAGAGAGGTCAGTGTCTCAGACACTGGATCTGTCAACAGTGAAAGTAGTCACTGAACTTCTCAGGGAGAAAACATCCTGCGACCAGCTTGGATGTCAGTCTGCTCAGCTGTTTCCTGTTTTGGAGTAAAACATTTTAAACTGCAGCAGACTAGGGCTTTTTCTTTTTCTTCTTTTCTGTCAGTCATCCAGCCAATGGGTAGGTTGCGAGCAACAAACGATGCCAAGACAGGGTGTAGGATATGGGTCTGCTTCAGTGAGACTGTTGTAGACAGGATGGGAGGCAATTGCTCTTACATTCACAGCTGCCAGTCTCAGATATATCTGGCTTCCTCGTGTCATAGACAGAATCTGGCTCTCTCTTGCTTGTTGATCATGTTGGTATAAATACATGCGGAAAGCTCTGAATGACTGTAAGGGCTGGAGTAGTAGGAAATGGACAATATTTAAAAATACATAAAGTACTGGCAGTTTTCTCCTAGATCCTCAGGAACTTAGAGGTACACAGGAATCTTTCTAAGTTTCAAAGGGCCTCTTTTATCATAATATTGAAGTTTATAATGGTTTGTTAGAGGTCTTCAATAGTATTTGGACCCATCTAGGAATTCCTGATACTGATGTTCTGGATTTTCTCATAGTGAGAAGCAAGAGCTACTGTCCTGACCCTAGTACCGGTAGCAGGATAGGCATATGGCATGGCTGCCTTTCCCAGTCATTGTCAACTTGTGGAGTTTTGTAATTTTTAGACTTGAGTTCTTCCAACCAGGAGGTTTGAATAAAGGTTTTTCATATAAAAGAATAGGAAAAAAGTATCACTAAAGGTGTACCTTACAGGAGTAGACAAGGAACATTTAGCTAAGTTAATTAACTAACAAACTGCGTTAAAGTGTTTCATACAACTTATTTGGAGCAAGCAATATTGAAGTTACACTCTTCCATCCTGGAGTCACCAACAGCAAGAAAGATACGAATATGATCTCTTATATATTCACTTATATTCTAAGCTAAGGGTATTGAGAAATCGAGAGCCAGCACAGTTACAGACAAACTTGCTGTTCAGGAGATATGATGACACAGGTTCAGAAGAGTGGAATGTGAACAGACAATCACCAAGAGAAGAAATACTGCTCATAATTTAAACGGCAACCTTAGGAAGTTATTTTTATTAATTACCTTTCCAGAAGGCGTTTGCACATTGGAACAATCTCATCTTAACTGTACGAAAAAACTGTTCTGAAAGTGTCATAATCAATATGTGAGCCTTCCCTAGAAGCTGCCTCCAGTATCGGAATCTCTGCTAATTTCACTGCTTGCACTACCTCCTGTGAGACCTGCAAAGGGGCTCAGGATGCTGTCTATGACTCTGGAAGAATCTTCTGAGAAATTCAGTTATATTCTCCTTAGCAATTATTCAGCTGCTTTTTGAAAACACGTTTAAAAGGATACTGAGTTGAACGTAAGCACCAATGAGATATAAGAATGATCTATTAAAACAGACTGTACAAAAATTCCCTGTATCTTCACTTGGAGACAACATATTGTAAATGTTAACATAGGTAGGTGTTAACTGTATATATTAGAAAGGAGAAGCAGTATCTTTCTGAGCAGTACAACACATTCATACAAGTGGTCTCTGTGACATATAATAAAAATCCCAGAATCTCGAGTCAGTCCCTGGACAGCTGACAAAAGATGAGCAAAATGCATGCAAAATTTAGATACAGTGGCATGTTTTTCTTCTCTGCCTATCAGAAATTTCTACCCCAATGGAAAGGACTGAAGAACCTTTATCTATTTAGGTTAGTATGCTGAATTCACTAGAAGGCTTTGCCTGCTTTTAGGAAGGAACTTTATTATTTCCCGCCTAAATTCTGGCAAATGATCATAAGTATAAGAAGCAGGGCAAATTCTCAATATAAAGTGGCAATTGCTATTACCCCCAAAATGTAATTCTACTCTTTCTTTCTGGCTTTTTTACCTTTCTCGCCCAGTGTAATTTCTTCAAGATTTCCTGAAATATGACCTTGATTGTAATCTTCCTAATTATAAACAAGATTCCCATATCAAGGAATTCACCCTTTTGTTAGTGAAAAGCAAACAACTTCACTAACCAGCACCAGTGAGATGTGGCTGTGCAGCACCCAGAACCTCACGTTGTATCTCTAGGTAACACTGCCTAACCATCATAGCTTGTTGATATTTCTGCAATGGAAATACCAGTAATACTTAGCATTCTGATGTTTCCATCTGGTACTGCATGCATGGTTTAGATGTATGATCAATGTTACCTTTTGGATGTAAAGTAATTTCAGTTTTTATCCAGACCTAACAAAGGATTACTGTACAGCCAGAACTAGGAAAGCATTTCCCTGGAATGATGAAATTATTTGCATTTTACAGCCTTTTGCAGAATTTCACAGATAACAGAAGATTTACTAGGACACATCCCTGGAAGAGGCTATAGGTACAACAAAAAGATATCTACCTCTCAATGCAAGTTTAGTCTTTGAGGAGAAATATACAGATATGCCATGACAGATTGAACAGTAAAAACTTATACATACTCTGAGCACTTTCTCATCCAGGGATCTCAGAGTGCTTGGTAGCTCTGGATTTTGGAAACATTCCTGATTTATTAATGATAAAAAGACAGATAAGGACACCTGTTTTGGACTGTATGTTACATGGTACAACACAATAGAAAAAATGTGTCTTGATCTCTCTAGCCCTATGTTGAACTCTATCATCTGTATCACTTACAAAGAACCTTTTATCTGGGACAGGCCATGTGGGAACCAGTTGGCAACTATAGTCCTGTAAAGGTCAAGTATTTCTTTGAGATAATATATAATGTGATCACTACAATAGAATGACAGGGATTTTAATTAAAATAAGAGGATAAATAACAGGGAGAAAGATGATTCAATTCACTACCAAATCTTGTGAGATGCTAAAAGCCCCCAGCACTCCCACCATACAAAGAGCTTTGCCACAGGGACTCAATTAGAACATACAACACCCATGTATAACTCATCCTGTCCAAGAACCAGAATGTAGGTGCAAACAAGGAATACAGACAGCTTCTTTTTAAAGAGTGGACTACAGTAGAGTGGCTTCTTAAGATTGAGAAGGAATTTGATTAGATTGTATAAATATATTAAAGAAAACAAAAGATAAGTAGGATATTATTAGCAAATAGGAATTTAGTGGTCAAGAATGTCTTAATATGGCAATAAGTAGGAGCGTTCTAAGCATCAGAATACTTCTTGTCCAAATGCCTTCCAGCTGGAGAAATACATAATTCCTGTAAAAGCAGCTGCATAATTTGTCATGGTTTCCTGAAAAAATGAGTGCAACAAGTCGAAAGATCTTTTGCATGCTTGTGTTTCCAAGTATGCTTACAAGCAGGTAAGAGACTAGACTTTGTTAGCGGATTACTGCCATCTTCTGAAGTAGCTGGTTTTGGAGGCAAGGATTTCATGCTTCCTCACCCTCTCTGCTCATTTTACTACAGGCGTGTAGGGTTGAGGAACAGGAGACTTGCACTTTCTGCCTGTAGAAATGATGTGAGATGTGAAGGAGAATGAGAGTGGTTAAATATGGTTTATAATCCTGGGAGCATGAATAGGCCAGATCACAATCTGTTCCTTGGAAATCAGTGTCACTGAAAGATATACCAGTCTGTATGAAGTAGCACATGCTCACTTTTAACTCTTTCAAGAGCTTATTCTCAAAATTTTCTTGAGAAATCTAATTTCCAATTAATCACCAAAACTAATTACGGAAAACAGGAAACAGGCACACAAATAAACTTTAGTGCCTGAGACCATCATTGTTTGTATTATTGAACTCTTCTTTTTGATGTAATGCTATTGCCACTACCAGAGATGAAATGCAGAGGTACTGAGTTGTACGTACCAACTGTTAACCGTATTTCTTCTTCCTGGTTGGCCAAGCCATCATAATAATATAGATCAAATCTCCGCTCTGTTTTCCAGTCACCTAGTAAATCCTTTTCCAAAGAAAAAAGCACACTAAAGTGGCTTTCGCTGCATACCAACCAAATTGGATATTTAGGGGTCTTCAAGTAACAACCAACCTAAAAGAAAGATACAAAACATTAGAACATCACGAGGGGCAGGGGAAGAAACAATTCATTGTGGAAAACATGAGTTGTATAAGATCTTTTATTTATTATAGTCTACAAACATTAATGAAGGCTCATTATGTACTGCTGATGAAGCAGACCAGGATAGCTCTGGTAAATCATGGAACATATAAAGCAACTATTTGGCCCTGAGTTACAGGCAGGTAAGGAAATCCTTACAGCAAAAAGATCGTATACCAGATGATCAGAACCAAAAGGAACCCTGTCCTCTGCAATAACTATAAAACCACAGTGAGTTTAGGTTAGGAATACTACACAAGATCAATGGGCGACCATGCTCTTATGCAACAGCACCTGGAAGCCAGGCAAGAGACTTCATAGGATCTCAGATGACATGAGACACCCCTGTGTGAGCAACTAAACCGAGACCAAAATCTTTTCTTGGATTAAGAATATAATACATTCTTTTCACTTTAGCATGTTCTTCTAGCTTCACAGTCCAGATATGTAAAATATTTTCAGCTACTAGAAGAAAGCAATAACAGAAGCACTTGTTTTGATTCATTGTTCTTAAAAATTAAATAGTCTCAGCTGAAAAAAAACAGTTATTTCTTTAACAGATGCCTTTTCTAAGCCTTTGCCCTCCTTTAGAATGTTTGAAAAAAAACTTCTTCATAAGTAACCTAAATATTCTGCATGAAATTGCATATAAATGATTTTCATACTCAAGATGCTTTAAACTAGAATTAGTGGGGGAAGGGGATACCAACAGGATTGCAGTAGGTAAGCCAAGACCTGGCATGGCATCAACTCAGGGCGGCAATCCTAGTGGGAACATTCACACTGCTCCTGGGAACATGGAGGGCTCAGGAGTGTATCTGGTACATATAATAATGATATAACAACATGCTTTAACTTGGTCAGCCCTGAAGTGGTCAGGCAGTTGTAGGTCCCTTCCAACTGGAATAGTCTATTCTATTCTACTGATTTGAAGTATTGTTTTTAAATCTACCAGCTATTTAAAATATGGGCTACTACAGCAATTCTTTGGATTTGTGAGTAATTTCTTTTATCTATATATGTATTCGTTTATTGGTTTAATCAATTTTTTCTGCTAGTTCACCCCATAGTCTTTAAGGTTCCAGTTCAGTCCAGCAAAGGATTGAGACTAGTCTTATGTGTAGTAGCCTCACATAAATATATTATTTCTCATGGAACTTCTGTTTTAAGTATTTAATACCTGGGGGAGTGCATCTGTGGTTTTGCATCTTAATATATGGTGACATAAAATGAGTTATGGAAGTTTCCTGCGTCCCCTGAGGTCAGTGAATATCTTGTATTTTCTTCACCTCACACTAATGTGTTCTGAGACAGATACCATCCTCCTATTGCATGCTGCTGCTTTAAAGCTGCAGTATCAGTTAATGATATTAGCCCCTTCAGTAGTAAGTAATAGAGTAAAAATAGTGATTAGATTACTTAATGTAACAAAGAAACCTTATTTCTTCCAGCTAAGATGTTGGTATTCAGCTACAGCAGGTATTTTTTATTAGCTATATTCCTGTCATTGAAAGCTGTATTCTAAGTTCAAAATAATACTGTTTTTTCCATCACTGAATTGTTGAGTTTTATATCTTTGATAAATCACTCAGGGCAACTAAAAACCAAAATAAAACTTTTTGCTTTCAGTGGAATGTTTCTAACTACAGCTCTGTTTATTATTCTTAGAGTAGACAGAATCACCACTGTGCAGGACGCTGTGTATAACCATTTTTATTTTATCCCCAGTTTTATGTATCCTTTGCTAAACAGATGTTGCACTCCTGGTATGCTACCAATCTGCAAAACAAGGAATGGCAGCCAAGTGTGCAAATATATGTGCATAGAAATACAAGATCAGTTTCTCTCTCCATAATACAGACACATGGATCAAAGAAACTTTGCTAGTTCAGAGGCTCAGGTAGTTTAGAAGATGTTTGCATAGTAATATGGTAAGTGATATAATCTACAGAAATAATCTCTGCCTATTACTACCTTTACCTTTACCACTATGGGGTTTAAATCATGCTTCAGCATATGCAGTAGGTGCTAGTGGAAACTGGAAGACTTTTAATAGAAAAATTCTCATGCATGTTTTCTAGATACAGATTAATGGATACAGCTTCTACAGTGCAGCCCTCAGTTCTTCACCTTGGGCACACAGGTGCAAATGTCATCTAATATACTGCTAAAAGGCAGAAGCCAAGATATATGTAAGCAAAAATCTAAACAGCATCCTAAGTGATAAGGGGGGGGAGGGAGGTATTACTGAGATTTAGAATTTGTATCTCAAGTGTTATATGAGTACAAAATCAATTATATTCCCCAATGAGAATTTCTTCTGATGTTAGATAAGAAGTCATTAGCTAATTAAGTAACTGTTCTCTGACTCATTACTTTGCTGGTATCTATTTAAAACAGCCTTTTATACAACAGTTTTGCTTTTTATGTAAATTCTTGGCTTAAAAGTAAAGAAATTTTTTTACAAGCTTACAAAACCACTCAGAACAGGATTTATCGAGAAGGGAAATACGTAGATGCAACAGAAGATGGCAAATTAGAGGGATACGGATGAAAAGATTCAGTCTCACAAACATGCATATTTTAATATGCAGATAAATCAAAGCCAAAAAGGAACAGCCAGTCTTCTAAAAATGTGTTCTTCCTACATATGTCTGCTAAAGCAACTTCCAAGCTTCATCAAACAACATTTGACAAAACAAGATTAGGAGATACAGAACTGTTTCAAAGCACACATCCACTCCAGTTCTTACTCACATGAACAGTCCTATTGAAGTCAGGACAAATTGTTCAGATGAGTAAGGTCTGTAGGAACATTTTCCAAATATGTTAAGTTTTCAATTACAATGCTTGCAGAAGAAGGCAAGGGCATGAACTTTAAGACTATAAAAGAGTCTATAGGAGACTATAAAAACATTGCAGGTCAAATCCTCATCTCCCATAAAAAGGGAGAAGTTCTCATTTCACTTACATCAGTTATACTAATTGAGGATTAGCTGCTGCCTTCAACATGAAGTTGTGTTCGGGTGGTTGGCTGGTCACTGGAGGTTTGCTTCTCCCCAAAACCACTGGCCACTCTGTCCCACTATCATCACCTTCCAGGGGCTTCTGGCTCTCCAGATACCTCAGGTTATTCCTACACTCCAGCTTTAAGGTCAAGCAGCAGGGAATGGTTTTTATCCATAAGACTAAAATTTCTTCCTCTCCCTAAACACGTTACTTTGTCTAGACTTCCTATAAGGAACTTCCCTCTCCTATAGCACTCCCCAAAACATGTCTAGATTTTTTCTACAAAATATAATATGGAACCATGCTACTGACAAAGTAAGGACAATCCTCATTGCGAGGATTCCTTTGCCTCCTTCTTCAAGCATCAACTGTTGAGTGGTCTAAAAGCCCTCATTTAACTGGTCCATCTGCTGAGTGGTGAGTGCTTCTTCAATTGGCTGGTGGTACTGATCCTGGAATGTAACAGGAGCTTGAAGCAGGACAGGGAAGAACAAGCATGAACACCCAGTGTTCTGACTTCTCAGGAAACCCTTTAAACTCAGAGTGTGTGTCCTCCAACAAGTGCCTGCCAGAGAATGGGGCCCTTCTTTCCAGCTGTTGTATGCTGCCCTGTGAGTGTAACGCTGGCTCTGACTTCCAAAGGCAAATCACGGATATGTGACTTGAATCTACTTTATTAAATATTATTATTTGTGTTAAGGTCTGTATTTCTACTTTGCAGAACATAAAAAGAATCCTTTTTTTTTTCCTGCTTGCAGTATCATAATGCATTAAATAGTAATAATGCATTACTATTCAAATATTTGTTTTCAAACATGCTCATTAATCTTCTTCAAGCAAAAAAAAATATAAGGGGGCAAGGATGAATTAGGTGTCCTTTCATGCTGCATGTTTTCAATTCCTATGGAGACTTCACTAACCCTAATCCTCTGCTTTACAAATCTCTTAAGAATGCTCATGAATTTCAGGGACACAATTCTCATCTTTGGAAAATGTCAACCTTTCAAAAGCAAGCACCTTCAAAGGGCTCATTTTCAACACTATGGGTGGTCTTTTTCTACATCTGACTTTACTGTGTATTCACACAATAGTGAAATTAAATCTACAGACAAATATTTTTTACTGGAGAACTATTCCAATGTATCTGCCAGAATGAGTGTATGGTACTTCACCATTCAGATTTTATTTGCTCATTGAACAAGGCTATCTTTTTCCACATTTATGCCAAAAAAAATAAACAAGAAACATAACCGAGATTCTGTGTTTTTTGGACTCCATTACACAATTTACCTTGAACAAAAACAAACATCAGGTTATCACTCCTATGCAGCAGCCATGATTCAAAGAAGAGAAGATGATATCAAAACCAAGGGGGCTCACTGGATATGGCTAATGTGAAGGCATTTTTCTCCAGGAGTTTTGTTATAACTTAATATAATTTCACTTCCTTGCTTGTTGGACTTTTTTTTTTTCCCCAATTAAAATTATATTCAGTCATTTCTTGCTTTATGTTTGTTTGCCTGAATATAACTGTTATAGATGCTTATTTTCCAAAGTAATCACACGGTGCAGTACTGAGACACATGTAATTCCACAAAGGTCTGGGTTCTGTCAAACTGAGAAATTGCTAGTTGTACTGAATCCAATAGGACTGATAGACAAAAGGATAATTACACAAAGCTTTCACAGTTACAGGCCATAGCCTATTGTTTGTGATGTCATTTTTTCCCAGCATTGCAATGACATTTACTGAATTAATATTAAACAATGTTCCAACAGTGTTAAGTGTCAATGGTATAAAAATGGATACCCTTGCAACAGCCCTTGGGTGATCAAGAATACCACTGACTCAGTTCACCTATTGCACCAGCACTATTAAAAACACCAGGCCAGCCACATTACTATTATATTTGCATATAGTT